GAATCTATCAAATCCTGATTAAAAATTAGCTCTTTAAACATTTAAGTGAGACAGAAATCCAGAAAAGACCAATCTTAAAGTAGTTAAATGCATCTTTAAGCTCACTGCTCTAGATGGGTTTAACTTTAGGTCTGTTGCCTCCAACAACTCATAAAAAAAGAGTCCGATTTTAAGGAGGAAACCATCGATGCTCTCAGTAACAGCTAGCATCACACCAACCCACAACATTTAGCACAGAAAGTGCAACAGGTTTGCCTAAAATGTCCTGAAATCGTCACTAAATGTGTCTGTTCCTCAGAGCTAAGCTAACTTTAGCATTAAAACAAACTTTCTTTAATGTGATCAAATACCTAAAAGTCGATCTAGAATCAACAGGAGATATTTTCAACAATTGCTCCTTTTTCTTTGCGATCCGAGTTCTTAATTATTTCCTTAAATGTGAAGCTGACTATTAATATCATCAACTAACGGCTTACCTGGAAACCATCGCCTCTTCTGTTAAAGTTCCCCCACAGCTGGATCCTGATATTTCTGCTTATTTTAAATATGTCGAAGTTCCGCAAAACTATTTCTGTGAAATTTGTTCGCCTCCTGTTGTTGTTTCCAGAAGTTGTCACTAAGCAGGTTGGTTACTTTAGCGCCCCCGCAGGACTGGAGGTTGAACACTCATCAACACATAAAGCCGTTCTTCTTCTTCTTCTGGAGTTCACCTTCCACAGAGACACACAGAACATGGAGGATTTTATTCAGTTGTGGGGTTTTAACTTTTGATGAAGGAGAACTCCATTTTAACAAGCTACTCATTTAATGATTTTAAATGACGCTTGTTTTACGTGTTGTAAAAAAAACAAAAAAACTTCTTCTTTAGAAATGTTGCCGCTAGGCAAACAACACATAGATGCATTTCCGATCCCCCCCCCATTATATTAGATTAATCAATGTAATTGAAAGGATTTGAATCTTATTTTGCTTATATTGATTTTGTTTTGTTCAGTATAAGTAAGAAAGAGAAGAAGAAGACAAAGATTAATCAACCCCAAACAGGAGGGAGGAGGGTTAGGGCCACTGAGAAAAAAAAAAAAAAAAAGTTTACTTAGTTTTATATTTTATTTAATCATAATATGAGAAAAAAAATCTGAATTCTGACTGAATTCTGACAGCTAACAAACATGTTAGCATCAAGCCATAGCCATGTCTGTTTCAGAGACTAGCTCTCTGGTTTTTATCACCTTCTGCTCTTCCATTAATGAAATAGAATCAGCAGGGACGGAAAAAGTCATCTAATTCCCTCATTTTCCACCAATGTGTTCCTGTTCCTCCCAAACAACTCACATCTTTGTCAGTGAATCTGAGCGCTCTACATCTCTGCCTTCATGGGGCCCATCTACATTAAGAGTTTAAAGTCGGAATTCCGAGAAAGCAGTCAGAATTCTGAGACTAAAGTCAGAATTCTGACTATTTTCTCGTATTATACTGAAATAAAATTTAAAAATCAATTAACTTTTTAAAATTTTTTCAGTGGCCCTAATCGTCTTCCATATAATCATAAATAAGAACCGGTCACCAGTTTAAATGGAACTCTTCAAGATTGGGAAACATCTTACTGGTTTTTCTAGTTGCTGTGATAATGTAGAAACAATGGAACAGGTTTTATTAGTTGTAGAAAATATGCAAATCAAAAGAACATTATTGAAAACAGAATTACGTTTTAATGGGGAATTGAAGTTTGAGAATGTGGTTGAAAAGCTAAAAGTTTTTAGGGAAAGAAGATTTTTCGTTTTAAAAACAATCCGGAGACATATTAGGATCCACTAGATGGCAGCAGTGTAACATTAATGGATGCAAGCTGCCGTAAAAAACCTAAAGAAGAAGAAGAACTGACCAACCCCAGCGTTTAGTTTCCTAGGCAACGCCAGGGGGAGGGGCCTATTTGCCAGGCGACTAACTCTGCCACATCACAACATCCAGAGATCGATCAGAGGCAGCTTTAAACAGGTACAGTTACGATCAGCAGAGACGGTTTTCTAGAAGGTTTTATAGCTAAACCACCGAATGAAAGCGATTCTAATTTAACAAAGAAGAGCAGTTTGGGATTAGACTTAATCTAGCGTCCTGTTAGCTAGTGTACAGCTAGCTTAGTGAAGCTAACTAGCTGAGAAGTTTGAGCAAAGAGGAACAAAAACCTCTGAAAGGTTTGGCGAAAGCAGCGGTTTCTAAGTGCGGGTTGATTTCTGTGTCCTTGCAGGAAAAGGAAAGTTTATTTTTATAAACCTGCGATCTGAATTAGGAGAATCTGAGGAGAAAGGCTGGATGTAAACAATAATAATGAGATTTTTAGATTATTCCCAGGATCATTAGCTACCTGTTACCTGATTAGCATTGCTAACAGACACTGAGTGTCTTCCTCTCATTAGCAGGATGTTTGTTCTGCAGACATGAAGCAGCTTTAGCAGCTTCACTGCCTCTGATCACAGCTGGGCAGAGTTTCAACTGTTTTCAAAATTTTTAATCTCCAGTTAAAGTAGAAAATACTCCAGAAATGACCAAAGCAAAAATAAAAAGTCTATTTAAGGATTAAATAGTTGTTGGATGACAGCATCTGGTTCAGCTTTAGAGATCCAGAAAGACTTTATCTGTAAGTTCTGGTATTTTAAATACATATAGAATACAAATAAAAGACATAATTACAAATGAACAAATTCAGTCTGTGTCTTTTTCAAGATAAAACCTCTGAAGTTATTCCTTACATGGAGAATGATGTTAGGAGAAGGAGCGTATTTACTGTTTACTGCATATTCAGAGAGAAACCTGGAGTTTAACTCCAGGAGGAGAAGCTAAACTTCACCAGAATATTAAACAAATACAGAAGCCTTAAAAGTATTCATGTTTATTACTCCAGAATAAATCCTGCTGTTTGAAAACAATTTTATACACTGCAAAAAAGATCTAGAAATAGGTAAAACTGTTTTAAATTTAGTGTTTTTCCCCGTAATTTAAGGAGGTAAATAAGATGATTTACCAATGGAATTAATATATTTTACTGTTAAAATAAGATAATTCGATAATATGCATTTGAAATAATAAAAGTGTTGTTTTTCTTCTTTTAAATGTAAACTGTCTTGTTTCATTGGCAAAGTGTCTCACTTACCTCCTCAATTCAAATGCCTGGAGATGACATGATGTGAGTTGTCGCTATAGAAATAAAATGAATAGAATTGACCCACTGGTTAAACTGGTCAAACTTAGAGTAAACTATTAAACATATTCTGTAATGTCCATCCAGCTAGAATAAAAAGCATCTGCATCTTTGTGTTTTCAGAGCCTGTGAGCTGGAGGTTGGTTTCTCTTCCTCCCTCCTGGTTCTGCTGGTGTTACCCGAACAGGCCGGCGGCCATGGCGAAGGACCCTCTGGCAGAGGCAGGCTTTTATTTTGATGAACTCAACAAGCTGCGGGTGCTTGAGCCTGACGTCAGCCAGAAGACTACGGAGCTGAAGGAAGAGTGCAAAGAGTTCGTGGACAGTAAGCTGCTCCTATCTGATTTATTTTCTCCCTTCTTTTAACAGCAACCAAAGCTAACATGATGTTCAAACGTCTGTCTGCAGAAATCGGCCAGTTTCAAAAGATTGTCGGCGGTCTGATAGAAATGGTTGATGAACTGGCAAAAGAAGCAGAAACTGAGAAAATGAAGGTGAGGTGAAATAGAAGAGTCGGGGTCATAATCTTTACCACATTTTGCAGGGATTTTTGAACAACGCAAAGCGACGCATCAGTGTGGAGCGGGAGGATCAATGCTTACACAAATCAAGACCTTCAAAAGTGTTAGCATTTGCATTTATTTCCATCTCTGATCCCGCTAAATCCAAACCAACACGATCAGCTGTCACCAAACTCTGGGATAGAGAAGCTAGAATCAAATGAAACCAAAGTGGGCGATTTGTTTCTAATCATCTCAGTAAAGCCATTTGGTTTTAAAGGAAAAGTCCAGTCAGCCAGGAATAATCAATGGATCGTTATTTATACCTAAAACTAATACATCTGCAGTGATTTAATGAATGTAGCGTCAATCAGTAAAAAAATAAAAACCATCTTTGCCCAAATATAGTAGCCCCTCCCTCCTGCCATCTTCCAGCAGTGACGTCACGGTGCGGTAAGCCTAGCGCCATTCTCCCCGCTTTCCAAGCTAAATCAATGGGAACTACTAGACACATCTGCAATCAACAACAATTATTGAAGATTTCCAGAAGATTTTTCAGAAGTTTGAATTCTGAATATGAGCGACTTTTCCTTTAATGAATTTTATGTCGGGGTATCGGCTTCAAAACGATTTAGGTGTTTGTGAAACATCCTAAAACCCACAGTTGATTTTCCTGCCACTATAATAATTTTCTGCTCTGTGAAATACCGTTGGATGTTTCTGCGTGACAAAATGTGGAACAATTTTTCCCTGATGACATTTACGATTAAAGTGAGATAATTATTCCTTTCTAATCCACTTTCAGGCAATCGGAGCCAGAAATCTGCTGAAGTCGGTGGCAAAACAAAGAGAAGCTCAGCAGCAGCAGCTTCAGGCGCTAATAGCAGAAAAGAAAATGCAGCTTGAGAGGTAAGAGAGCAACAGAAACTGTGATTAGTTCTGATGTGGCGCTAAAATGACGTCAGTTTTTCTTTGTTTTGTCCCACTTAAATGTTTCAGATTAAAAGGATTTGACTATAAGTCAAAGATAACCTGATCATAAAAAAAAGGAAGGAAAAATCCTCCAATGGTTAATTTTCACCTTTTCTACAGATTATTTGTTATTTTATTTATTTCTCTTTCGAAATGGCGTTTTCCAGATCACATTCCCGTCACTTCCGGGGGGCGGGCCTTGAAGACGCATCTCTATTGGTCTGCTAAACGTAGTGACATTTCTATTGGTGCAGAGCGAGGGTTTTTACTGGGCCTGAAGTGAAGAAAATGTGATCTGGAAAAGAGAAAAAGAAGTTTTGAAAAAATAAAATGAAAAATAAAAGTTACACCATTTCTTTGATTAATAAAAAAATATTTCTGGATTATATTTCTTTAAAAAAAAATCAATTTCCAAAACTTATTTCTGTTAAATAATGGAACAAAATTCCCTCCATATATAAAACACCCCAAACATCTTCACACCTACGCTGCAAAAACTATCTAGAAATAAGCAAACATTTCATAAATTAAATGTATCTACCCTTAATTCAGAATAGAATTCAACTTTATTGTCATTATTCTTTCACAAGGTCAAAGCAGCATAATGTAGTTTGCATCTATCCAGAAATGCTACAGGTGTGCTATAATTTAAGTAAATAAGATGATTTGCCAATGAAATGAGTATTTTTACTGTTAAAATAAGATGATTAGATAATATCCGCTCAAAATACGACAATGCAAATGTTTTTTCTTTTTTCTTTTAAATGTAAATAGTCTTGTTCCATTAGAAAAGTGTCTCACATTCCTCCTCAATTCAAGAAAAATGACTTATTTACAATTGCAGTCTGTTATTTTAAAGTTGTAGG